TGTGGGCGGTGACGGTGTTGGTGTGTGGTGATTGTGGGTGGTGACAGTGTTCTGTGTGGTGATTGTGGGCGGTGACGGTGTTCTGTGTGGTGATTATGGGTGGTGACGGTGTTCTGTGTGGTGATTGTGGGCGGTGACGGTGTTCTGTGTGGTGACTGTGGGGGTGGTGGTGGGGGTGGTGGTGTGTGGTGACTGGCAGTGTTGTGTGGTGATTGGCTGTGGTGGTGGTGGCATTCTGTGGTGTAGTTATGGTGGTTACAGGAAATGTGATAAAGTGACAGAACTAGGCACTCATATCAGTGTCAATGTCCTGGTTCTAATACTGTGTTAAGTTACATGAGACGTAACCAAGGATCCCTGGTGGTCCAATGGTTAAGCACTCAGCTGCTCACCTGAAGGCTGGTGGTTTAAAAGTGCCAGCGTCTCTGTGGGGGAAAGCCCTGGTGACCTGCTTCCATGAGGGCTACAGTCTAGGGGACCCCATGGGGCAGTTGCACTCTGTCACATGGGGTCACTGTAAGGAGAGGTCTGCTCACAGGTACCCAATAACAACAAAACGAAGCCACTAGGGGAGACTAGTGAAGGGTACAAGGGACCTGTCTGTAAAGTCTTTGTAACATCCTAGAAATCTATCATCATTTCTAAATACAAAGTTAAAAAACAAAAAAAACCCAAAGAATTCTTCACTTGATGAAGGTGTTTGTAACAGGAGGTCTTTAATGGCAAACTGAATGCCTCTAGAGCCTGACTCTCACCCGACCTCTCCCCATGACATTGTCTTGGTTTCCCTGCATTAATGTAGCATTTCCTGGCCTTGTGTTCGGGCCTCCATTTAAACAGGTGAGTTCCAGCCTGGTGTTTTAGGACTGGGAACCTTTCCTTTCCCTGATAGTCACGTACGTGTCTGATGCAGGCTTTTTCTCTTTCCAGGGGAAGGCAAGGAAGAAATTGGGAAGGTGACGTTTGAAGAGCTGAGGCAGCAAGTAGCTGTGTTTGCGGCAGCAATGAGGAAAATGGGGGTCAAAGCGGGAGACCGTGTGGTCGGTAAGGAGTTGTGGTGGTTGTGGTGGTTTGGCGGGAGGAGACCAAGGCTGGATGGCTGGGAAGGTGGAGCTGACTTTTTGAATGAGGTGGCCTTGTGTTACGTTCTGTGTACCTTAGGAGACTGCACCTGTATGTACTCAGCCCAAAATAAACACCGTATGGAGGGAGGGCAGCCTCCCTGGCACTGCTGTGGCTGAGGAGAGTGGCCTTGGCTGACGAGACCTCCTCCTCTCTGGCATGCTGATCATGGGGAAACTGTGGAACTGGTCTCAGTACATTACTGTTAGCTGGAGCTCGCGGTTCCCAGTAGGGCTCTCTCCTTGTGTTGCACAGGATTTTAACAAATGCTCAGTGCCTTGTGTCCACCATGATGGTATCATGCAGAATGGTTTTGCTGCCCTGGAAGTGCCCTGCGCTCCCCCTGTTCATTTCCCCGCCCCCCCATACCCGCTCATCTCACTCAGCTGGGCATTTTGTATGGAACGGTTTCTCAGACACAGCCAGATAGTTCATGGGCTGCCTGTAGCGGTGATGCCTCCCAATGCTGGGGCGTGAGAGGGACCAGCCACAGGGCTTCCTGAGGGGCGGTCCATCTGCTTCCAACGTGGCGCTTTCCTGGGGCCTTTTCCAGGGTGAGTCCAGGCTGGGATCTTTGCCCTTTGTGTGACACTCCTGCAGTTTCCAGTCCTGAAAACTCAGAAGCGGGAGTTGGGTTAGTGGGAAGACTCCTCTGGCTGACTTCCTCTTGCTCACAGACCCTGGACGAGTGGAGCCCCGAGGGGCCTTCAGAGTCATCGCCGCTCTGTTTTGCGGATGGAAAACTGGCGCCCACAGGAGAAAAGTCAGTTAGCCAGTTGTTGTTTTTTAAGTTGTAAAAGGATTTCATTTAAAATGGGTGTCGATTTTTAATAACATTGGTAATTTAAGTGAGTGTTCTCACTGAAAATACATCCATATGGAAACACCCAGCTTCTGGAAATGACAGGTAAAAAGTGCTTCTCTTTAGTGTGACGCGACACCTCATACCCGGAACACTTCATCACAGATTCATCAAACAGAATGGCTTCAGAGGTGTCATGCCAGCCATGTAACAGAAGTAACAGAGGCTGGCAGCCACGGAGCCAGGACTAAGGGCCAGGTTTCCCGGCTCTCCGTCCAGGGCCTTCCGTGCCACACCCTTGAGATCATCATCCTGGTGTTATGGTGTGGTTTCTCCCACTTGTGGGTTCTCTGGGAGTTTGTTTAGCAGTGACTAAGGCTGCAGGGTGTGAGCACCAGGCTTTCTGAGTCATGAGACCTGGCGCTGGCCTGCCAGTGCTGCTGCTGACCAGCTGTGAGTTTGGACGAGTAACTTCACCTCTTCTCAAACAGGGCAGCAGAAAGAGGCTGCCTGTCCACATTGTTGTGGGTCTCACCTTCTCTGCTGAATTGTGTTTGTCTAGTTCCAGGTGACCACAGCCCCTGTAGGGTGAAAGGGTTGAGGCCTTTCCAACCACATGGGGCCACCTCACGGCAGAGAATGGCATTGGCCTGCTCTGCCTGTCTGCACGCCCAGGCACGAAGAGCTGGCCCTCCACCTGGCCAGTGATGGTGCTGAGTGGACAGCTTCCTGTCTGGGACACACAGATGTTAAGTGTCCCTGTTGTTTTCTGTCTGCTGTTTGCTGTGCTGCTGACTCAGAGTTTGACTGTTTAGCCCCAGGATTGGAAACCAATTTCATTCTTCAACCTAAGGATGAGGCTCTTTGCTTCTTTGGCCACTCAGCTTCGCTTGTGGACTAATAAGTACCGCCGGTGTAGGAGTCCATCCGTCCGCCTTCACTGACTTCCCGTCACCCTCTGGGTGGAGATCCGAGTCTGGGGCCACATGGACCAGCCCTGTACAATACTTGCTGGCCTCTTGCTCTTCCTTTCCCTCCCTGCTCCTTCCGTTGGAAGTGTCTTCCAGGCTGGCCCATCTGTCTGCAGGGCCCCTTGGGCCTGGTGACTTCTCCTCACTACCCAGGTGAGGAGTCACCAGGAACACGTGCAGAGGCCCCAGTCGGAGATGGTTCTGGATGGAGCTGGGGCAGAAGTCTTCAGCTGGGCCAGCGACAGGCTTGGCTCCCCGCTCCTTCCCCGTCTCCTTCACTCCCTTGGGCCGTGAGTCACGATTGCCCAGTGAGATCCCAGCAGTAGTTTTCTTTCAGCTTGCCTTTCACCTTGACTTCTGGAAAACTTTTTTCTTTGTTTTGAACTTTTCATTGTATTTCAGTGAAATTTTACAGAGCAGATCCGTTTTTTGTTCAGTAGTTCATACCTACTTTGTTTCGTGACGGCGATTACGATCACCGCAGCGTAACAGCTCTCTTCCCACTTCTGCCTGTGTCTTCCTGCCCTCGGAGCTTCCTCCCTGTGCAGATGGTGCCCTTCTGATCTCCCAGGGTTGCTTGCTCTAAAGTGCGCACCTCTCGGGTATATTTGTTCACTTTGTAGGCCTGTCTCTTGTTTGGCTGGAAGCCACAGGAGTGAGTCCAGCTCCAGTCCCGAAGGGTGCCTAGGGGGCATGCTCTTGGGGGTTACACCAGTGTCTGTGTGACCAGTAATCCTGGTCTGTTTTATATTTTTGAATTTCGTTGTACATTTTCCTCCCACTCTGTCCAGATCTGCAGTTTTGAGCCCTTTCAGAGAGGTTGGCAGTGGTAGTGGGGCTACTGATCTAGAACTCTAGAACACCCACTTCATTCTCTGGGCTCAGGGTTGTATAGGGTGAGGTTCCCACGGTCCCTTGGGCCTTTGGACGAGTTGTTATACTTGTCTTTGCTCCAGATGAAGAAAGACCAGTAGTTACATCTTACATGGCTGCTCACCAGCCCTTAAGACCCCAGTTGCTACTCACCACAGTAGGATGTAGGACAGTGTGTGCTGTGTTGTGCCGTTTGAGCTTGATGTCCCCTCCAACCACAGTCCCCTAGCCTGCAGGCCCAGAGACTCAGTCCATCAAGGTGCTTGGTTGTGGCTAAGAAGTCATCCTAACTTTGCCCCCTGTTAGCTTTATGATGTATATGGATGTTGTCACAGCACGTGCATATACGTATGTGGGAATATTCTCTGCCAGACCTGTATGTGGTTGTGAGTACACTCCTGTCTGCCTACTCGTACCTGATCTTCTTGCCTGTCTAGCTGTGTACCCACCTGTAGATGAGTGTTTGTTAACTGAGGGAGCAGTGTTTTGTATATGATAGTATTTATCTTTGTCATCTGTACCTGTCATGCATGTCCCTGTGTCTGCCTTTTCCTTACTGATGTTACGCTGGTCACACCCATTTGTTATATTGCCTTTCCCTTCATTCAGATCGGCGAGTCTCTCACCTGGCCAGCGGTTTTTCCTCTCCTTCCCTGGAAAAAAGTGTAAAGGCTTTTTTTTTTTTTAACTGCATTTTATTGAAATTTAATTTATATACAGTGAAATACACAAAACTAAACTGACATGGGTCAGTGCCTTTTTTTTTGTTTGAAGTGTTCTCTCCCCTCCTCTCCCACCCCTGGCAACCAACAAAGTTTCCCTCCATATATAAACCTTTCCTTGACCCTCACAACAATGAACTAATAATATATTTGTCCTTCTGTGATTGACTTATTTCACTCAGCATAATGTCCTCCAAGTTCCTCCATGTTGTGTGGTGTTTTGCAGACTACATTATTCTTTAGTGCTGCGTGGCATTCCATTATGTGTATGTCCTTTGGTTTGGTCATCCACTCTTCTGCTGATGGGCACGTAGGTTGTTTCCGTCTTTTTGCTGTTGTAAATAGTGCTGTGCTGAACGTGAGTGTGCATGTATCTGTTCCTGTCCTGGCTCTCACCTCTCTAGGATATGTACCTAGTAATGGGACTGCTGGGTCAGATGGTATCTCTGATTCCAGCTTTCTAAGGAATCACTGTACTGCTTTCTACAGTGGTTGTATCACTTCACAGTCCCACCAGCAGTGTATGAGATCCCAATCTCTCCACATCCCTGCCAGCACTTGTTATTTTCTGTCTTGTTGAAGCTTGCCATCAGTGCTGGGGTGAGATGGTATCTCATTGTTGTTTTGATTTCCATCTCTCTGGCCAGTGATCATGAGCATCTCTTCATGTATTAACTGGCCACTTGAATATCCTCCTTGGTGAAGTGTCTATTAATGTCTTCTGCCCATTTTTCAATTGGATTGTTAATTCCTTTGGTGTTGAGGCATTGGAGTTTCCTATAAATCTTAGAGATAAGACCATTGCCAGGTAGTGCTTATCAGCAAATATGAATTTGTTGCTGTCATTTTTGTTAAATGCTTTTCCATGGTGTCGATTTCTTTGTTCCATATAATTTTCTATGCTGAGCTTGTTTTGTTTATGAATCATGTCATCACTTCTTTCATTGCTTTTGTTTAGTATTTGCTAAATATTTGTGCTGGTCCTCTTTTTTATTTTGATGTGAAGGTTTATCATTTTTCTTGGAGGTTACCCTGTGATTTATAGTTTTCTTCCCAAGTTTAGAA